CCTGAGTCCCTCTTCCCTGTGCATCCAGTCTGACTTTAAATATGACACTTATTTCCATCATTAGTATTTTGAAGTAAGTGAAACCAGACCTAGATACTTCTGCTGGTGTTATGCAGCCTTTACTCCTTGAGTAATCTTCTTGATTTCCCTTGGGCTGTGAGGCAGCTTCTCACATGAGAAAGTTCAGAACCTTCTTGCTTGTCCCAGTTAAATTAATTTGTATGCTGAGCCATGCAGGTGAGAGCAAAGAGTATATTCATTTTCTCAGCTGCTTGGTGACCAGGATGCTTGAGGAAGAATTCAGACAGAAAGAGCTGGTATTCCTGAGATGGGAAGGCTGATAGCACGCAGTCACCTTCCCATGGTGTTCCTCTTGGATTGTATCACACATCAGCCCTGGGAGGTGCTGGGTTTTGAGTCAATAAAATCTGTGCCTTTTCCTCCTTTACATTTCCAGTGCGATTTTGAGATAACTATTTCTCAGGGCATTTTTTTTTTTTTTTAATGACCAAAAAGCTGCTGTTCTGGGAGTTTAGGCTGATGTTCTCAGCTCACAGCAGTCTCGGGGGGCCAGGATGGGGCTTGGAAGAGATCTAGAGAGGGAGAAGTCTGATATGCTGTACATGGTGTAATCTCTAAATAAGCACAGCAGGTCTGATCTCTGCCACAGGAGATAAGTCAAGGACTGAAGGATTTTTGGTCTGATACAAAATAATTGTCATCTCACTGTTGAAACGCTGGAAAAAGATGAAAAAGTGGAAGTATCTTCAGCATTGTCTATAAGATGTTTTAACTAGTGGCTGTCTTGACTAGCTGGGCTGTCACATCAATTGTATTTCTTCCATAGATCTTTGGTTGGTGGTCTAATAATTTTTTTTCAAAATTAGTGTTATGGTAAAGTTAATGGCTGTGCTTTTCAGGTATTTCACATGGGTTTTTTTCAGGGGGAAAAAACGTACCACAGGCACTTCTAAAGTGTGCATTTCAATAGGTCTGGTAAAGTGAAAAATATCCCTGAAATAATGAGGCAGCACAGGAATACTGCATTCTGACCATCAAAAAGGTCTGCACACATTTTTTTCTGTGTGGAGTACATGCAGCATGGAAACAATTCATGGTGTGGCAGCATGATCATTCTCTTTGTGCTCTTTGGGAGGGAAGGAGAAGGAAATGGGATCTCTAAACAAAAAGAACAAAAAACAATGGTAGGCATAGACTGGTAATTTTTGTAATAGTTTCATAGTGTTCATCATTTAACAGAGTGAGAAGATTTTGAGTAAAATCACCAGAAATATATTTCTAGCAGTGCTTTTTAGTCCTGGCATATTTATGAATATTTCATGCATGACTTTTTTGCTATATTTAAAATTTCATACTCAGCTTTAAAGTTTGATCTGACTTGAAATAGTCTTCAGAAAATAAATTTAACTTTCTTAAGAGAAGAAACACCAGAAAATTATAAAACGCTGAAAAAGGAAACTAGTCTTAATTACAGATGGAGGATTTTACACTTCTTTTGAGGCTGATTAAGTTGTTTGATAAATGAAAATCAGCACGTCATTTGGGCTTATCCCAATGACATAAATAAGTTCCTTAATTTTGCTTCTGTCCACTGAGTTTGTCAGGTGCTTCAATGAAAGATGTACCTTGAAGAACTGGACCTCCAAAGATAAAATAAGGCTGTAAAGACTGGATTGCTGGCTTTCCTGGCATGGCTGAGACACAAACAGCAAGGCTTTCCTCTGCAAGCCAAATTGGCAAGAGCAGACCTCGTGCCCATTAAGTCCCATTGGTGGAAAGTCCAGTTGGAGATGAGCTTATCTTAAACATAAGGGAATTAGTCCAGCTTCCATTTAAATCACTGGCAAAGCTCCAGCTATATTCAACCAAAGAGGGGCTGAGGCAGCAGGCACACAAAACCCTGCTTCTAAGCCTGATCCCAGCTTTTCTTACACATCCAAAGCTCATGCTGAGTACTGTGGTCACTTTAGCAGGATTAGGCTGAGTGGATTGTTTGGGCAGATTTATGTGGCCATTCATTGTAAGAAGTACTGATACAGTTCTCAGTGATGTACAGTTGATAAATATTCATTTGTTAAAAGACAAGACACCTGTTGACAAGGTAAACTGCGATTGTTCCAAGCAAATTGCTCGAGTGTGGCAGAATGTCATGTGCAATAATTGGCTGAACAGCTCCTGTGTTATGTGTAGCCCTGTTCCAGCAGAGCACTCAGGCCAGCGTTTGCCATGAAGCACCTGCCCACCTCCACCAGAGGCAGCGAGGCTGCCCTGCACTGTGTGCTTTGGAGAAATGGGGATACATTCCTCGGAGCCCACTGTATCATGGCTGTGCTGGGTGCTCCCAGTCCTCTGGGAAGCCAAACACGACACCAGGTTTGAGGATCCCTTTGTAGGGGCACACACCTGAAGCCACTGTCACTTTTCACCTGCTGGGTTTAAGCAGCAATCTTGGGTGCTCAGTGGTGCCAGAGGTGCTCTTTGTCGGCTGAGCAGTGTCAGGAGGTGTGACAGGTAAGTGTCACCCCCGGGCTGTAAGGGCCAGCGTTTATCCGTGGACTGTGTGCATGCACATCACCTGGGGCTGCTCAGGTGGTAACAACTATCTCAGTGTTATGGATCTAATCAGGATATATTCCACACCTAAGCAGTGTGTGGAAGATCTAGGGGTTTTTTTCTTTTGGAAGAGGGAGGAAAAAAAAATTAAATTCCAGCCTGAAAAATGTAACATGCCATCTTTATTTAATGTTTCTCAATGTCGATATCCCAAAATCAGGAGAAATGAATGTTTCCTTATGTAATGAAGTAACTAGTGCTACCTGTATGGACATCCCAGTTCACTGAGTTTTCTGCTGGGCACAAGAATAATTCTGGTTCCTTAGCAGGATTTTGAGGAGAGGAGGGGAACTGGAGATGATGTAATGGACTGTCCTCTGTTAACAATATGAGGACCAATTAAAAAGTACAAATAAGTGACATAACTTAAAAAGACAGGTGGTGAAAAGAATACCCATCATATAAAGATGAGGCACTAAAATCATGTTAGACAAGAACTAGGGATTTGAATTTGCCACCCACTGAAAACAATAGCAAAAACTCCACTGAATTAAATGCCTCAAGCCCTCGCACAGGACTGATTGGATGCTATTCATAGAATAATGTATATGCCAAATAATGCTGTTATTTGTCAAGTAAATTATTTGTTAGATCCATCATCCTGCCATTTCTTTTCTGGCAGAACTCCCACTGAAGTCAATGGGGGTATTGTCTGAATAAAGTATTTTAGGATTGGGCCCGAGGTTAAACAAAATGCCAGTGGGGGCAACTTGTTAATCTTCCTTGGGTTCATAAACCCACATATTGTACAATGGTTTGGCAGCTGGGTACTCTGCCTTATGATGCTAATTTATTGTGTCACTGATGCTGATTATTCCCTCATCTCTTTTTAATCTACCTGTTGCCACTTCGATTTGTTAATATGTGTGTGTAACTTCAGCCTTGCTGACTGTATAACCTGCCTCGGTGTCTGTGGGCTCTGCATTTCTTGGGGGTCAGCCCTTTGGTATGCTGGCTTGTTCCATCATGTTCTGGTTCTTGTGTGACCTTGGAAAACTGCAGGATGAGCCAGGGACTGCAGCTCTGAACCCGGTGAGCAGAAGTCTTTCAAGGTGACTTGTTCTCTACTTTTGAATTAAGAAGCCTGATTATATGGCTGGTCTGTTCTTCCAGTTTGTTTTTTCTTTTAGTTTACGAGTTAAATGGTTTAGTTTACGAGCTAAAACATCAAATTCTTTGGGGTTTTTATTCTCAAAAAAAAAAAAAAGAAGGGGAAAATTAATCTCTTGTTATCTTGATAGGAACACATTTAATACAAGTAAATTGCTTAAAGGATTTACGCTTTTAGCTATTAAAATACAACTCGGGCAACTTCAGCACTTGAGCTCAGCCTCTCATTACTACCTATGGGAACGTATAATGGTTAAATTAGCTGCAGGTGGGCTCCCCCGCTGCTCCAGAAGCACATTAGAAGCATCTTGAGGGTTGCAAGTAACCTTCAAGAAATCAGACATAAGAGCCTCGAACAATAGTCATTCTTGTACCTGGTAACGTGCTCCATATGCCTGAGAGGTGCTGTGCAAATGGGACTCTTTGTGGGAGACTGCTTGGGTCTGGCTTCTCTGGAAATTGAATGTTTTTGTGAAATGGAAAATGTTTCATAGGTGTTGAGCATAGTTCTGTGCTCAAAGGGGTGGTAAAGCAGTTGACACCGCGGCTTGCTGAGCGCAGTGAAAAGATCGCAGAGCACCTCCCGAAGGTGGTGTGATCCCCAGGAGGGGGCTATGCCCCCCGGCCACATAGAACTGCTGCTTTTGGTACAAACGGACAATTTATATCTGCATTTGGTGTATAAGGATGTGTTTCCGGGGGTAAAGTTTCTATTCTCTGCAGGGACTGTTGGCTGGAGTTAACACTTGTCTCACCAAGACCTTTCCGTGTGATCTGCTGGGGATTTCAGGATGGAAGCAGACCGCGAATGAGTGCGCAACCTGCAGTGCTTGTGGGTTTCGTACCTCCTGCTCTGCTTGCTCCCTGTACCTGTTCTCACCGACCCAGCGCCACAGCGCGCATCTCCCGTGCCCGGCACTGCCCGGCACCGCAGCGATGCCCGCGGCAAACTTGAGCGCCCGAAAGGGCTGCGGCTCTGCCCGGGCCGGCCCTGCCCCCGCCGCGCTCGGGGGGCGGCGGCGCCCCTCGGGCCCCGCTGCGAGGGGCGGGGAGGGGCGGCGGCGGCCGCTCCCGCCGAGGAGGAGCGCGGGCGGCGGGCGGGGGCAGCGCTGCCGCCGCCGGGACCGGCTGAGGGCCCGCGGCCGCGGCCGTGGCCGGGGTGCGAGATGGCCGCCGGCGGGAGCCGCGCCGTCCTGGGGCTGTGGCTGCTGGCGGCGGGGCTGTGCGGCGCGGTGGCGGCGGGCAGGTCCCCCAGCTGCCACGAAGTGCGGACGGCGTTCCAGCTGCGGCAGATCGGGCCCCTCAAGCTGGTCCCCGACGTGCCCACGGCCGGTCAGTACCGAGCCACCCGCGGGTGGCCGCGCCGCGACGGGAGGGTGGCGGGGTCCCGGGGTCCCGCCGTGCCCGCGCTCCGCTCCTCTGCCCGCCCCGGCTCCCTCCGCCAGCGCGGCTTCCCTCGGGCTCGGGCAGGGCAGCGGAGCGCCCCGGGCACGGCGCTGCCTGACAGAAGCCAGCCTTTGCCAGGAAAGGGGAGCGGTGGCTCCTGCGCTTTCGCCTTGTGCAGGTGTCGCTTGCCGGTCCCCACCGCGGGCAGCGGGGTTTCCTTCGCCGCGGCTGGGAGCGCTGCGATCCTTGCGGAGTGCCTGGGGCAGGGTGTTCCTCACGGGAACGGTCCCTGTGGCAGAAGCCGGATAGTTCGGCAGGCTTGTTCTGCTGGCCAGATGTGGGGTCCTCACACGGGTGGCGAATTCACTGCAAGTTGTGACTCGGGAAGAGTCATCTTGCAGATGAATTGGGGAGCGCTGTCACAAGGAAAGGCAGAGGTGACACCTTGGAGCGATCCAGCCAACAGAACTTGGCTTTTGCTTAGTTAAGCAGTAAGTCTGCAGCACTTGTGAAAGTTGATGAGCAGAGCGTTGTTTCGTTTTGCCTTTTCGGAGTTCGGGAACAATGCCTGACAGCACTGAACGGGGAAAGCAGCACATATAATAAGAATAGACTTTTTAAATAGCGTATTCTACAGCTAACCTAGTAAGGGGATGAAGCACTTTATATTAAACTCTCGTGAATGTATCATGTATCTAGATAATGAAGTCACATTCCTCACTTTTACATGTTTTCCAGTCTAAACAATTCAGTGAGTCTGTTTAAAGAGAGTCTCTTTTTATTCCAATGTCCGTAAACACTATCTCCTAACATAATTTGTAGCTACCTTACTTCAATTGACTATAGGTGTGGTACAAGTTGCAATTTGGGCTATATATTTTTTTTTTTTTTGAGAGCAGTTTAATTCAAAGCCTGTGGAGTTTGATGGAAAGATTTCTTCTCTTAGATGAGTTTTGGATATGTTTTCTGGCACGGGTTTCTGTCTCAGGGATTAAATTTGATAGGCCATTGGGCTGATCTCTTGTGGCTGTAATCGATTGCAGAGTGCTGGTGATCTTCACTTTGCATGAGGTAGTTGAGATGACACAGGGGTGTAGAGTTACCTGTGGAGGAGGAATCATTTGTCATTTTCTGGCAAGAAGAGATTTGCAGGAATGGCGTTTTGATTTTGGTATTACTGTTCTGTGCTGATAGAGGCATCAGATGGTGGTTGTTTTGGAGAGCTAAAAGAGAGGCAAAACAAGGTTTTTCATCCATTTTGATGGATGCTTAACTCTCTCTCTTGAGCTCTTCTTGGAAGAAGTTCCTCCAACTTTAAATTGATGGATTTATATTAGCTGTAAAGCACTGGTGCTGTAGAGGAAACTTTCTCAAAACAGCTTTCAGAAGGAAGGTGTGGGTCCCGTGAGGCTGAAGAGAATCACAGAATCATGGAATGGTCTGGGTTGGGAGCGACCTTAAAGCTCATTGAGTTCCAGCCCTCCTGCTGTGGACAGGTTTCATTGTCTTCTGTCCTATCCAGCTTCCCTGTTGGATAACAAGCTCTCAGAAAAGACATGGCGAGAGAGAAGGTGAGGAAGGGTAATATGCTCTTAAATTTGAGCTTGTAAAGGTTTCCTTTGAAGAGGGTTGAAGCAGAGCTGAGGAAAAGTGGTGCATATTGATCTTCCCAGTGCGTTCAGTATCACTCGGCTCCACCAAAGCTTGTGTGCTTTAATGATCCCTTGCTGGGCAGTAATGCCTCCTGTCTTGTGCCCTCTTTTCATTAAATACTGAAGTGTTTCCCAGCACTTTCATGGGCAGCTGTTATCAGCGAATATATCTTAATATACACACATTTCTCCTGACATTGAGACTCGTTTTATTATGCATTTTAATGGCACACAAACGTTGAAGCACATCTCCTGGAGATGCTGGTTGTCAGATAAAGTAGAAGAATGGTGGGCAGCTGGGGTGACACGGGAGCAGTGTGCTTGGCTGAACTGAGCCCTGAGTGAAATGCCAGCAGTTTCCTGCTCACTTCTGCTCCTGTGGGCCAGACCTGCCCTGCCCTGGGGTGCTCCTCAGCCACCTGCATGTTGGTTTTGGCTTCTTTTCACTAAAAAATGGAACTTTTGCAGTCCTGTTGTCTGTGCATTAGATATTTTCAGTCATCAAAGTGTTGAAAGCCCTTGGCTTATCTCAAGCCAGTCTTTGTAGGCTAATACAACAAATCTGGCAGAGGTTAAAGTCTTAATGATTATTAGGTTCTTAGACCCTTCAGGAAAACCAGCAGCTCAGTCAGAGAGGCCCATCCCAGTGCCCAGGGAGGGACTGACAGACAGACAGCTGTAAACTTTCTGTCTCCTCTTATAGATGGTGCCCATTTCACGTGTAATTAAATGAAATACTTGTGAGAATTAGCCTACACCCTCGTGTGGCATTAGCTGTGGTTGCAGCGCTGAAGCTGTCAGCTGGTGGGTGTGGGATGCAGCAGTGGATCCTGGATATCGCTCCTAGGGACCGGGGGGCTGGGAGCTGCTTCCCTGTGCTCACCTGCTCTGGAGCCAGGTGGTGGCATTGCTGAGTGGGTGGGACAGGGCTGTCAGCGTGGCCTCAAGTGACGTGGGAAGTTTGGGCAGGATCTGCCAGCTCCTGGATAAAATGTAGTGGCAAGGGAAGGAGGAAGACTCCTAAGGAAAGCAAAAAAAAGGCTTTTGCTTTAAAGGTGTGATGTGAGTCTGGCAGCAACTTGCCTGAAAATCATCACCTGAATGAGCCCTTAGAGATGAGCAGGGGTTTTCTTGTCGGTTTCTCTTCCCCCAAAAGACATGGGGTATTTTTCTACTCTGAAGTTTAGTGCGTTGATGAGTGCAGGACTAAGGACATTTTTGGATATGGGATGGATAAGACATCCAAACTGCAGGCATTTTTAAACAGCACATCTCCTTGGTCTGTGTGTAAGACTCCCTTCTCCTCTGGTGGAATCTGCACTTCTCTCTGGTACCCTGCTTTTTTGGAACAAATGGAATATTTCAAGGGTAATTTGCTGCAAATAGCAAAGATTGGTCAGGTAAAGGTACTCCTGCCTGGGCTGTGATCCAGAGGAAGGGTTTTTTGTGCCTTCCCCAGACTGAGAAATGAGGTAATGTGTCCCCGATCGTGTACTTTGATTATCACAGACTGAGCTGGGATGTTTTCGTAGGAGCTCCTGGGTTGACATTTTGATGAGAGAGGATTCTAAGCTGTCTCCAAGGGTGAGGGGCTGGGTTAATCCTGCCGAGGGGACTAAGCTTTTGGTTCCAGGGAGTCTGGATAGCTCCAACCTGACGCGTGCTGCCCCTTGTGGAACGGCTCCCGGGCGGGGGCTGCGCTGGCCGTGCCCTGCGAGCCCTGGGTTGGGTTACAGCCTCCCCTGCCTCCTGGCACGGCTGCCGGACACTCCCGGCTTTTTCTGGGACCTGGAGCCTGCCTGTCACTGCTTTCCAGCTTCTCAGGAGGAGAACTGAGTGAACCCAGCCGAAGGCTGTGATGTGACCACGTTCAGGCAATGGATTGTAGCAGAACCAGAATAAAAGTCCTCGTGCGATTCCTTCGGTGATCGTGTAACCACGAGAACGTCCTACTCGTTCACATATGCTCAGTTCTCCCTCTGGCTTGTTGACTAGTGTTTGAGCATGCAGAAACCCCAGTCTGTAAACATATGGTAAGGAGAGAGAGGAGAACTGGGCTGATTTTTGGGAAGCATGGAAAATATGTCATTTGTGCAAGAGTTTTAGGGACTCTTTACCTTATAAATAATCATCTTGTAGAAAACTACCAAAGGGACGAATAGCTTTTTCTTGTTGTACTCCTGGTTTACAAAGAGTGCAGAAGATGCTCAGGAACTAGCTTTCAAAGGGCAGGTTTTGTTCTATTAAAAGCTGCTTTATTCTCCTGTCATCCTGCACCTTAAATCAGCAGGAGTGTTCATTACTGTGTATGTATTGAATATCCCATTGTAGAGCTGGACATGCATTTAATTTTTTACATTAAAACTGTTTTACTTTTTGAATAATGACAGACAAGTCCTAGATTCCCACCAGAAGCCCCGTGCTGCACGTGGTGCATGAATTAGACTGGATCTCATCCCACCTCAATCTGTGGCACAGCTCCCATGTGTGTTGAGAAAGGAGCATGAATAGATCCCTAATTTGTGTATGTCTATTAAATTGCCCATTTTCTTATGAAATGGGTCACGCAGCACTTTTATTTTCCTGTGGTTTTTTTTGTTACTGCTCAGCTTTTCTGCCTCCCTAATGAGAAGACCTTTCCCCTGGTAAAGGTGTAGTGCAGGAAGGCATTTTGCTCAGAGTGACGTTCTGTCCCTGTCTGCTGTGGGTCACAGGAGACAGGGATTTGCTGTAATGGCTCTGGGAAGATCTTGCCCCGTTGGAATGAGAGGCTCAAATCCTCGGGTGTGAGCTGCAGTTTGTGCTCGGGTGTTGTGTCCACCTGCACGTGTGGGACTGCCTTCAGTAGGGTGGGTGAAGAGGAAGCATTGCTGGAGGAGCACAGATCTGTTTATGCACAGGAACTACACAGTGTGGTTAAGATTGTAAAAAGGCACCAAAAAATATTCCTATTTCTTTTTGAAACAAACCTGATTGTTATCCAAGTTTGAAATATCCTTGGCATTACCTTGCAGCTTGGTACAGTGGAAGGTGTTTTTCCTGTTACACCTTGTATTTGCTTATTTATGAACACACAGGATTCTTGGGGATTTATATCACAAAGGGGGTGAGAGACCTTTTGGAGGGGGTGGGCCTGTCCAATGTGAGATAGATTCTGTTCCCATCTTTGTTCCTGTCTGAATAGCCCAGAGCAGTTGTGCCACAGTTTCCCTGTCTATATCATGGTATATTACTGTGAGCAACTTTACTGCTGAAAACCCATCATGAAAGGGTGGTAGATTGCAGCCAGAAAAA